TGGTCTGAAGTCCGCAGAGCCCTTATGGGTGCCGGCAGCTACACTAGAGCCCAGTCGAGGCGCTCGTGCAACGCGTTCGAAGCCCCCCGTTGCATGCGTGCCGCGCCCCCGATCGTCGACGCGACGACCCGCGGCCTCGCCATCGCCGGCCTCGCCGTCGGCGTCGTCGGCGTGCTGCTCGGCGCCGCGGGCCTGACGGTGGCCATCGTCGCGCTCGTGCAGGCGCGCGCGGCGAAGCGGGAGCTGCAACGCCTCCGCAAGGAGCACTGATGGAGGAGCGCGTCGCGGCCGCGGTCCTCGAGGCGTACGCGCGCCTGAGGATAAAAGACGGCGGCTGCTGGACCGTCGTCGCCGGCGTCGCGGCCGTCGCGGGCGACGACGTCGAGGTGCTGAGCGTCGCGTCGGGCTGCAAGTGCGTCGGCGGGCCGGCGTCGCCGGCGCTCGTGCGCGACGGCCACGCGGAGGTGCTCGCCGTGCGCGCGCTGCGGAAAGCGTTGTGCGACGACCCGGCGCTCCACGCGCGCCTCCTGGCCGAGGACCTCTGGCTCTACGTGACCGCGCCGCCCTGCGGCGACTGCGCCATCTTCGCCCTCGACGACGGCGCCGTGGCCTTCACGGGCGCGAAGCTCGGCGACTGGCGCCGCGAGGACCTGCGTGGAAATGAACCGCCGGTTCGGGACGTCCCCACCAAACTTCAGAACTCTCGAGCTCCGTCACATCGAAGTCGATTCGGCTGATTTTTGGACGAATCGATTGCTCTCGTCGAGTTCCGGAAGCACGGCAGAAAGCCTCGCGTCGAAACGGTCGCATACGCGCACATTGAAGTCGGGTCGAAGATTTGAGTTCCGCGCAGGCGAGGACGACCAGCTTCTCGGCGCGACGCGGCTCAAGTGCGGCCGGTCCGACACGGCGCCGGACAGGCGGTCGTCGAGCCTCTCCTGCTCCGACAAGCTCTGCCGCTGGAGCGCCCGGGGGCTCCAGGGGAGCGTGCTCAAGCACGTCTTCCCGGAACCGCTCGTGCTCGCGGCCGTCGTCGTCGCGCGGCAGCCGCGCGCGGCCGACGCGAGCCTCGAGGCGGCGCTCGCGCGGTCGTTCCGGCGCTGCGGCGCGCTCGGCGCGGCGCCGCCGCGGGTCGCCCTCGCGGCCGCGGGCGCGGACCGCGCGGCCGCGCGCGCGGGGGCCGCGCCGTCGAGCCTCGCCGTCGCCTGGTGGCGCGGCGCGGCCAGGGCCGAGGTGCTCCTCGCGCACCGGGGCGTGCGCCGCGGCGCGACGGCCGCGGCCGCGCGGAGCGGCGCGGCGGCGTCCGCGCTCTGCAGCGACGCGCTCTTCGCGGCGGCCGCGGCCGTCGCGGCCGCCGCGGCG